CCGCTGATTCTTGATTTGCTACAACAGAGAGCGGAAAAGGGGCATAGTAATGTATTTTCACAAATGTATGCATGTCTTGATCCTCGTGCCACCAATCACGCATATCGAGGCATGATGGCCGAGGAGTCGAATTGCACAATTTAATATGAAATGAATGCACATGAAAACACAACAAGACCTAACTCCATCATGGATGATCCGGAGTGTCGGAGTCTAGGGATTTGAGACACGTTCCGTCACTCGGAGTACGAAATGCACCTCGTTTGTCGTGCCCGGGCTAACTCCTATCCCGAACACGATGCAATATGCATGACATGCATGAAATGCAACTAAGATACAATCCTAACATACACAATGCTATGGAATGGCATACACGCTGCACGAGGTAATATACAACCGAGCATACACAATGCTATGGATGAAATAGCATACGCAATGCAATAATGGGCTTACACCAACATGAGAGAGCCTCAACCACACTCACATAGGAGGACATCAGATGAAAACAAGACAACTCGAAATGCGTGCACGCGTGCACGCAAACCGAGGACCGACCCTCAGGCACCGAAATGCCACTCTAATGAGATATGGCAAAGACATAGAATATGATATGCAAACATGCAAAAATCAGTAGCAAAATGAGGGGCAAAACAGCCCCGAAACAAGGCGAAATGACACCCGATGCATGGACGGCCATGCAAATTTCAGTGCTAAAATATGCCCCAAAACAGTCCCGAATCATAAAAGCATGGCTCCCGATGCATGGAATGAAACCGAAATGCAAAAATAGGCCCATACATTGGCCTATAGCTATACAAAACCTGCATTATTTGCTTATGACATGTGAAGACAGATTCAAGGCAGCCCCAAAATAAGCATTTTTACAGTTCAAAGCATGGCCAAACAGCAAACAGAAATAGGGCAAAACTAGCATGCAAAAATGGCCCTAAATGCGAGATAAAGAAGCAACTCACAGCTTCTGTCCCCAAACAGATTAGGGTCCTTCAACAAAGTTGAAGAGGGGCCCAAAACGTGATCTTTTACAGTTTATGGAAAACCACAAAAACCAGCACAGGTATGGCTAAACTCTCATGCAAGAAATGGGCCAAAAGATGGCCAAAGAAGCAAGTGGTGGTTTCTGGCCTTAAACATAAAGGGGCCCTTCAACAACATTGAAGAGGGGCCAAAAATAATACACTTTACAGTTGATGGCCGGACCCAAAACAGTATGCATACATGCCAAAAATTTCATGCAAAATATGGCCAAAAAAGAGAGATATAACACAAAGTATATAAAGGATGCCTTAAACAGTGAAATACCCTCAATGAAACATGAAGAGGAGGCCAAAATAAGACTTTTTCAGTTCTGAAAATCGCCCAAAAATAGAAGCACAATAGGCTAATAAATCATGCAAAAATGGGGACCAAAGAGGGGTATAATGACAAGTGGCACATGGAGGTCCCAAACAGTGATGAGCCCTTCTTCAATGTTGAAGAAGGGCTCAAAATAAGCCTATCTACAGTTTACATCATGCTCCAAAACATATCACATATAGGCCAAAAATACTATGCAAGATTATGGGATACAAGAGGGATAATGAAGAAAGTGCAAGATGGGGGCCTCAAACAGTGAGAGACCCTTAAACAAAAGTGAAAAGGAACTCAAAAAAATTCCACTTTCAGTTAGGGCCGGAGCTCAAAATAGCAAGCATGTATGGCTAAGAAATGATACAAGAATGAGCCAAAAAAAGGGGAAATGGTACTTACCCTTGAAGACAAGTCTTTGGTTGCTTCTTGGCTTGAGAAGTGATGCCTCCTAGCTGCTGGAAAGCTCCCCAAGCTGCTGGAAATGGAGTAGTGGTGGTGATGAAGAAAAAGTGGTAGAACTTGGTTGTTCTTGCTTGAAAGAGAGAGATAGAGGGAGATATGTATATCAAGCTTGAAGGCAAAAATTTTCCCAACCCTTGGACCAATGCTGGAGGCCAGTTATATGGACCAAGGAGGAGGAGAAATCGAAGAGAGAGAAACCTAGGGACGTATCTCGGTGTTTCAGAATG